TTGGTGTTACTAACATCATGCTCTGACCAAATGAGCTATCAGGGGCAAGAAATAGCCTCAAAACATTGACAGGTCCTCTGAGGCAATGGGATTTTCTTGGTATGTATTTCTTCAAAATTGAGAACCTCATTTTCAAAATCTTAATGAGCACTAGGAGTCCTTGCCTGACACAGGAACTGCTGGCATAAAAACATCTCACCAATTCCATGTTCAAGATTTTGTAACTCAGCTATGTCAGAACTGAACTGGAATAATCTGAAGAAAAAGTTACTAAAAAAAAGCATTTTTGCAATATTTTTAAAATGTGGTTTGGCACTGCTTAAACTGGCATTCTGTATCAAATGAAACTCTGCCCTCATTAAAAAAGTACTGTAATCATCAATCATATAATTATCAAATGGTTTGGGTTGGAAGGGACCTGGAAGATCACCTAGTTCCAACACACTGCCATGGGCTAAGACACCTTCCACTAGACCAGGTTGCTCAAAGCCCCATCCAGCCTGCCCTTGAGCACTCCCAGGGGTGGGGCATTCACAATTTCTTTGAACAACTGTTCCAGTGTCTCACCACCCTCACAGCAAGCAATTTCCTCTTAATATCTAACCTAAACTATTCTCTTCCAGTTTAAAGCCATTTCCCCTTGCCCTATCACTACAGGTCCTTGTAAAAAGTCCATCTCCATTTTTCTTGTAGCTCTCTCTGGTTACTGGGATGTTCCTCTACAGTCTGTCTGAAGCCTTCTCCAGGCTGAACAGCCCCTACCCTCTCAGCTTGTCTAGATGATCACGACTAGGATCAGATTAAAAATCTGCTTAAGGAAATTAATTTCTTATTATCTATCTCCTACAAACTGAAATGTGCTCTCTATACTGTCTAGAAGCAATCAAAATTGTTGGAAGTTTTCTGAACAAGTCACAGTTCTTACTAAGGCTTCAGTGATGAGATACACAAGCAGATGCTTCACGTGCGTCCTGCATGTCCCTGGTCAGAAGGTCACCGATTATCTTCTGCTGTGACAATCATGCAAATTCTAGAATTGCATCTATCCATCTTTTGAAACAGCTATATGGCATGGAATCAGCCATCTCTTCTCCTCACCAAAGTCCTGCTCAAGGCAGTAAAAAGCTCTGGACTGCTCCCCTGGAACAACTCTGCCATGCTATGCAGAGAGTCAGTGGTGCAAGTCAAACAATTTGGAAATGCAAAAAAATTCTACCTAAAGACTCAACAGAAACAATGGAAATAAAAAACAAATGCCCTTTCAGCATCAACTTCAAAACTGCATTTCAGATTCCTCCATTAAACTGATGCCTGAAAGCCCTAGAAGACTATGACATTTCCAGGGCCTTCCAATGCAGTTCTTTGGAACAAACAGCAAAACAATTGATTACTTAGCCCTCTGCTCATAAACCTTCAGTCCCTTCCTTTCAGTCAAATTATAGGCATACACAAATGAAATAAGTAAAATAAAAAACCTTTGACAGATCTTTACAAAGGGCTATGTGAAGCCATGAGCAAAACAGTCTCTGAGTCCATGAGCAGCAGCATCAGGCCTCAATGGCAAACACGTGGCCCTGATGAAGTTAATGACAAACTTTTCACTGACTCCTGTGAATGTGAATTTGACTTTATACCTATGCTACATAAAATAATTCTGCTAATAAAAACCAGGTAGCTTCATAGGCATTTTTTAAGCATCAAAGGCTATGTCTACAATATGGACCACAGGATGGTGCTGAGGACCTAAGGTCCAAACCACACACCTTTCAAGAGGTTTTTATTTCACTCTAGCCTAGTCCTGTGGCTTTAATGTCTAACAGACTGCACTTCTACAGCACATCTTCCAATTTGGTTTCATTTGAAACGAGTCCAACCAATGATCTCCAGGACTGCCACACATCGCATACAATAAGTGGGGAAAATGGAGATGCATTTCCGAAGCATACTCCTGCTCTGACCTAACACACTAATGCAGATGCATCCAAGGAGCTTAGAATATGTCTGTGCAATAAAACCTCTAAAATTAAGGAGTACTGAGGCCCCCATGAAGAGAGTTAATAGGTAATAGACTCACAGCCTTCAATGTGTTCACACGGATGCAGCGACGTACAGTGAAGGTGTTTTACAGCAGCAAGCACTGTGTGTCTGATTTCAGCTATGTTCACTTCCCACCTGCTTGACCTTGTTATCTTCAGGACTTTCATGCAATTAGCCCTCCACATTTAGAAAGCTTTTCCATGTAGCTGAATATTTTATTTTCAGAAGAATTTGTTTAATCTTTACCATCTATCCTATTGACAAGGGTCTCCTTTCCCATGACAGCTTTGCAAAGTACACATTATTGCATTAAAAAGATCATCTGATGTCTCATATGCTTGTGATAAATCAGGCTTCTTGCCCTCTTCACTTGGGCTCTCCCTCCCCCTCTCAGTTTTATACTAGTCAAAAAGGATTTACTTCTCTTCTAAAAAATAATATATAAATAAATACACTGTGAATCACAAACATTAAATACTTAATTTGAACCAGCAGAAAGACCAGCTACCAGAATTCTACAGTGGTCTGTTAGCTCGTATGTCTCTGCATGTGCATATTGAAGGAAACAGCAGAAATAATACTTTACAATTTGATGAACAACATATGACACAAAACATCTAGACTCCCAAAAAAAGGGTTACAAACTTATGAAAATGTAGAATTCTGCCCTCTCCAAGAAAAAAATCCTACACACTCCTTACTTGCACAGATACTAAACCATCATCATTAAGGCCTGACATATAAATAAACTGGATTAAGGAAGAATATAGTCATTAAGGATTAAACTGAAATATGGGTGATAAAAAGGGACATTTTCTGACAACATGTTGGAGGTCTAAACAAAAAGGATGATGCTGTACCATCTGCTTCCAGGCAGACTCCTCCCCTCATTTCAACTACAAGCAAGAAGGAGCCTGTGAACTTAATTTAAACTGGAAAGAGAGAAAAAAGAGAAGGGGGAAAAATTCTTCAGACCATGAGAATCAAACATGCCACTATCTCAGTGCAAGCTGCAGATTTGGAGAATTATCTCTAAAAATTACAAGAAGCAATCATATAATCAGAATAACAAAGTAAAAAGACTACGCTCTCAACAGGTGCAACAGCAAAGCAACACCAGGTTGCAAAATATGCATTAAATTTTTAAAAAGTGAGTGAAACTGTTGAAAGTATTGGTCTCATAATAAAGTAATGCATACAACCCATTTCAGTAATTCCCATTTCTGAAAATCAGATTCTTGACTTGACAAATATCCCATTCCATACTGAATGCTCCACTGATACTGCCTATTCTTTCTTCCCCATAGAAATACAAAATTTCTGACAATGAGTACTTAGAAGAGAAACCTTAACATTTCAGGTTGCTGCCTTTTCCCTTTTCCCCAAACTCTTCAACCATCCCTATTCACCTGTCACACATTCCAAACTCAGAGGAGATGGTTTGACTGTTATAAATTAACTACTCTCATAAACCAGGTATTTTTGCTGTTTCCCAGAGATTGCACCCAAGGTGAGGATCAAGCAAGCAACACTCAGCGTCCAGATATGCAAGGTTCAAGGCAGACGGGAGGAAGCAGACAGAAACTGACCCACATTTTACTGCATTTGGCATTTGCCTTTCCCAAGCTGCTTATGAGGAAGATCACCAGCATAGACACATTTCAAAAAGCCACTTTTTAAATGGCAGTAAGCTTCCTCATCTACCTGAAAAGTGCCTGACTTAAAAACTACAGGTATAAACCACCCATCTAGTACACAGTGGTCTGTTTTCTCCAAAAAAATATCCTGTGGAACATTCACTGGAAAGTGCAATAGAACTAGTTCTTAAAGTGACTGCTAAAGCCAGCTTTCCTGTGTTTAGTGGCTAATACTCTGGGGAACCTTAGCTGTAGTTTTCAGTACCTTCCTGTGCTGTTTGAGCTTTTGCAAGCATATACCTTTATAACTCTTCTAACAGCTATGCAAAAGAACTGAACAAAATGGAGGGGGAAAGGACAAGACTGACGAGAGGAAAGAGATTACAGAATGAAATAAGAGTTTGAAACTGAGATGGTGGGGGTGGAATTGAAACAGAAGTTTAAAGAAAAATGTTGAGCAGGGAAAGGGAACTGGAAAAGGGAAATCAGAAATGTTAACTTATGATGAAGCACACACCTTTTTGTCATCTAATATTCAATCCCATTTTCCCAGTGACACCCCATATGAAAGCCCATATACAAGAGAAAAAACATGCAGAGGAGAGGTGCACCAGGCTCATTAGTTGTAAACATCAGTGAGAACACAAAATTTCAAATACCTATGAATGAAATACTTCCATTGCCAAAGAAAAAAACCACACTTCTGATAGACATTTCTGAAGACCAAATGGGGTCAGCAAAAGCGGAAACTTTTAATGAAATATATTACCAGTCACTACAAATATATGAGGCATGAAAATGACTGTGAGTGGAAAAAGTAAGTTCTAAGTGCAAGTATCCTGCTGTTCATCTTTGCTGTTTCTCACTGGATTTAAGGAAAATATGCATGTTTCCAGGCAATGTAGAACAAAAGCATTTTGGTTTTTAAACTTTATCTCAGTGCACCCTACATCTGAGCCTTATCACCCTCTGATGTCCCATAGTGCCCCTTTATAACCTTTGTTACTCAATTACTGAACAAGTTATCTCATTGTTACTCTCTTTTGAAGGAAGACTTGAGCCTCTTTTCATGCTGATAAGATAGGCATAAATATTCACTCGAAGCAAACATTCAATTGTAAAGTGTCTTGAGCAAACTACCAGAGTCTAAAGGTAGGAAGCGGTGATCAACTTCTTTGCTATCTTAACCCTTTAGTCAATCCACCAGAACAAAGAGACACAGAAGACAGATGCTTTTCTTACAAATGAAATTACTGTTCTCTAAAGGAATGGACTTTATAACATACTTTACAACACAGCAAATAAATCTGGAAGTGAAATACCTACCCATTTTCTGGGCCGGCCTCTAGGTCGCTTTTCACCAGTGGCTTCTGCTTTCTGTAAAAGAAACACAACATATTTTATACCTCAGCATTACTTAACAGCCTCAGTAACTAGGAGCTCCTTTCCTGTAACATTAGCTACAATCATACCTCTTGGGTGGCACCGGGCCCCCCAGCCAAGCCGTGTGCTTTCTGGCAGAACGTGTGACTAGGCTGCTTTTTCTGACATTCCCTCGGCATTGCCTCCCCTGCAGCCAAGGGTGTCCCCAGCCCTGATCCACGTGTGTCCAGGGGCACTGAGGAGTGTGCCCACACAGCCCCAGCTGCTCGGCCCTGGCCAGCCATCCCACGTGCAGGCTGATGGTGGGAAACCCAAGAACCTCCAAGAACATCAAATCTAGTCTTTCACATGCCGTCAAAAAGTACTTGAAGATACTAAATCAAAAATACAGCCTGTTTCAAGTTGGATCAAAGCAGTTTACAGCAGCTACAATTCCTTTTTCAGTCTCATTATGTTCAGGCATGAAATTAATTAGCACAGAATATCACCATGAACATGTCTGTGTTCTTACTGGGAAACAATTTCTCTACTTTTCACATGAAGTTTTCCAGCTAAAAGCGTATCTTTAGGCTGTAAGTAAACCTTTTATGGCCCAAAACACACCTTACCTTTTCAGGTTTAAGGAAACAATGTGAAAGAGGGCCTAAAAGTGACAGCTATATTTATGTAAGCCCAGCAGTTGCTCCTGGAGCTCAGCTTAAAGGAAATATGGGTCCTTTTATAGGCTCTTCCACTAATTCCACTGCATGACATTGTGAATACTACTACTACTAACAGTACTCACGTAGTACACTAAAAAACTTAAACAGTTTAAAATGAAAATTCCAGGTTATTCTCTCTAGCTAGGCTATGCTCATCCATACATTTCACGAGGTAAATAATTCTGTTCCACTCAGGATTTTGCTACCACCAGGGCAGGACTGGCCAGATACAAGGTCGTCAAGAAAGAAGACTTTTAATACACATGAATTGTATTCCTTTGGTTTTTTCCCCCCGCAGTTAATTGTATGTGTATTTGATTTGCCCTTAGAAATCAACTGTGCCATTAAATAAATCACTTGCTGGTCAATCACTGTAACATATACTGTAACCCAATGCTGTGTAAATCGGATCTCTCTAAAAGAGAACTTGAGCTGAGGAACTAGTGGAGGAATCTTTACAAAAAAACCTGCCCTGTGAGTTAAATGCAATTATTTTGAAATAAATACCTCACAATAAGAAAGCTGTGAAAAATAAAATTCACACTCCTGAAGGGCAAAATTATCACTCAGACTTGTTAAAAGAGTAAACTTGAGCTTTAATAGTTTATACCGGTGTTACATGTAAGGTGAAACCCTCTTAAGAGAATACTTGTTAAAATGCATTTACTGTATCCTGTAGCTGTCTATTTCAGAGTTTTGTTTCCTTTAAGCATTCAATTTCTTTAAAACTTGTAACCTGAAGGATGCAAAAAACCAGATATGGTTTAGTGTTGATAAGCTGTAGCTCCCTGCTTCTGTGTTTACTTCATGAAACACTGGGCATAAATCTTAAAAAGAAATACCAGTTATAATTGGTCTTAACAAATCAACACTTGACATGTTATCAGAGCACTAAGGCTGTTTATTTTCTTGTGTGTATTACTGCATCTGAAGGAAAGATCCTTTTCCAAAAATCTACTAAAAATAATTAACTTTTTGAATACAAAACTACTTCAGTCTAATAATTGAAGTCCATACAAACCTGACACAAATTTTAACTTCATACAATGAACATGAGAGATTTCTTTGAATGACTAATCTTTGCTTCCTGCCATAAACTGTCACACAGGGTGGCCGCTTCCCATGCGGCTCAGCAGTGCTGAGCTCCACCACCACCCAAGGTCCCTGTCAGAAGTGGCCAGTGTTCCTGCTGGCTAGTTTGGCTAATGGTTTGTCAAGTGCTTGGGGACCTTGCAGATTGAAAGGCACTATATTCCTGCAGTATATGACTTCCACCTCATGTTAGAAGAAAAACATTTCCATAGCTCTTATCAAAACCAAATCTTTCCCAGAGGTGAGCTGAGCAAACAGCCAGGCATGCCAAAGGTGATGTTTTGGTACAGAGAGATTCTGTAAGTAAATAGCAAGGTTTTCACAGATTAAACTGCAGAAAATTAATGACAAGAACCTCCAAACTGGAAGTTTTAATCTCCTTTTCAAGAGAAGAGAAAGACAAAACACTTTGAGAACAAACGAAAGGAGCAGTAGCAGCACAGTGGCAACAATAAATACATTAAGTTCAGGAAAATATTCCACTTCCTTCCCTCTTTCTTCAGCCTGCATTTTGCTAAAATGCTGTATTTTAGCAAATTGCTTTATTTTCTCCAACAGCATAAGACTTTCTTTTAATTGAAGCCTTGAAGAAATGTTGTACTGTGTGTAAGATAGGTAATCCATTGGCTCTCCACAAAAGCACTAATACACTGCCTTTCCTCTTCAATAGGTTTCTGCACCATCAGAAACACTCCAGTCTGTTGGCTCTTGGCTTTAATTGAAGTGCTGCCTCTGAAGCAAGGGGCAAATCCTGACAGAGCTCCAGGCCACCCAGAGGTGGTGTTTGGTCAGGGGGTTTTTAACATTTGGTGCTACTATGCTATGAGGCATGACCTTGCTTTTTACAGCTGAAACATGAAATCATTGAAGTTTAAACAAGGGTCAGGTATGTTATCAAACACAAAGTGTATTTCATTAAAAATATGAAATTTCTTAGAAACAATACGAACACATCATTTTTGCAATGTCACGTTTTAGGAACAGAACTGGACTTATATTTAAAAGCATGATCCATACGGGAAATGGTTTTTATTTATCACAAGTGAGAAAGATCATAATTCAGTTACTGCTACCTGTAACAGTCCCCAGGAAGATTTGCAATCCACTCAAGCCCTGTACCACAGGGCCATCCAACCCTGCTTCCAAACAGCTTCTCTCAGCAACTCTAGGACTTGACCGCCCATGATCTCTGCCTCCTTATTGCAAAAATGCACTGTACCCAGACAGAAACCAAGGCTGTACTACTGAAAGCAACTAACAAGACAAGACAAATATAAATAATTGAATGGCTATAAAGTGCACCTTGGGCATCTATGTATTGTCAAGGAAGACCTCAAATGCAACAGAATCCAGATTTGAAGAATTCTATCTACTTTGCAAAATGATCTGCTGGATATCTCAGATAAAATGTGTCAGAGCTGTAAGTCAGGTAAAATAAGCGATAGTTCTCAGGAGGAAGATCACTGTTGTCAAACAGAGTCAAAAGACCTAGTCCAGGAATGCATCCCTCTCAAAAAAACCACACAGTTATTTAGTCAAAATATACTCCTAAAAAACCTTAGGCATTGACTAAGTACAAAAACATCACACTTTCCATGTCCTGTTTTATCCATTTTAATGCTAAACAAAAATCAGTCTTCTGCTTTTCCTATCTTGGTCAAAACATTTGATTTTGAGGTCTCTTATTTTTTCAGTTCAATAACCATGATACAATCACCTGATAGATTTGATCTTGTTTTCCTTTAAGCTTGTAATGGCTGATGTAGATGAAAATGAATGAAGCATGGAGAAGCCAACTAGATTTTCATGACCCAATTCAGGGCAGAGTCCTGATCACATGCACTTTTCTGGTTTGTTTTTGTTTGTTTTTTTGTTTTTTTTTTTTTCTTTTACCTTTGGACTGCTTAACCCAGGGGCATGCCTTTTCTACATACCAAACCTGGCCATGTAAAGTAGGGACAATAGCAAGTGTAGTCACACACAGGATCACCAGCTCTAGTTTTCAGAGGATGATGCATCAAGCTCTGTAGGCATTTTTAGTCAATCTCACTACAACAACAACTACAATAAAACTCAACATATTTTAGCTGAAGGTAAATTTTACTAGAGAATTTTTACCATTGTATACTCCTGGGACATCCCTTGACAATTCCTTTAATGACAATCATATAGTAGCTACTATACTTTTTTCTAATGTCACAAATGTGTTTCCTGCTCCCAAACAGGAAAGTATTTATGCCTACACAGTATTTTTGTCAAGCCAAACTGTAGGAACTAAAAAAAAAAAAAAAAAAAAAAAAAAAAGCCCTAGAAAGGGAAATACGATGGGCTGGGAACACAACTCACCAAACAAATAAAATCCAACCACAAAACACCCAGGAAATGAAAAAGGAAGATTCCCCACATTTTGCTGTTTTTTGAAAAATATTTTAAATTAATGACAGAATAACTTGTTTAAAGATCCAGACTGCATAATAACAACCTAATTGTGGGGACTCAAGTGCAAGGTGACCAGCAGTTTTTTGGCTCTACCTCTTCTTATCTATCTGGTAACACATTGTGTTCCTCCTGTGTGTAAAAATTAAACAACTGAGAAATGGTTTAGTCTTCTACAAAACGCAGTTTATTTCTTGTGCCTAGTTTATAAAAACTTAGGCATGTGTGATATGCAAGGCTTTAAGGAAAAAAGAAAGCATATTACCCAAAATTAGAGTAATTGCCACATTATTAGCTGTTCAGTTAGTTTTGCAACATTTTGTATGCATTGTCAAGTTTCACATTGCTAATTTCCTAACAAGCACAGTTTGTTTTCAGATGCCCCAAGGCCAGTTTACTAAGACCAAACACAAGCTCTTAAAGCTAAAAAAAAAAATAAAAAAAAAACCAAAACAAAATTTTTTTAAAAATCCCGTGAACCAAGAAATTTTAAATATACAACACAACCAAAATTCCAGGGAAAATTGTCCATCAGCTAATTTAAGGGTATTTTTGAAGTATAACAAAACAAAGCCCCGGTTCTGGAGTATTTTTAACTCACTGCCAGTTTGTGCAATACATTTTTAATTGTGATGTGTAATGCTTTGCAAGAGAACACCCAATCAATTAATCATGAGTGCCTTCTCATGGCTGCTCGGTGGGTTCTCCTGGCCGACGTTTATCTAACATGTTGTGAACACTCTGAAGCATTTCAATGAGCTCCCTTTGAAACGCACAGGGCACGCACTATTCTTTAGAAATTCCAGCCAATTCCAGCTGGGTGTATAGTGCCCAGGTTCACATGTAGAGGGGCTTAAGCTAAGATACCCAGTGCTCTTTCTGGGAGTGGAGACAGGCTGGAGAAAGTCTTAATGAATGCATGTATGCATATGTATGGGTAAATATGTGTACCACAAAACTGAACATATAGTTCACTCCTTTTAGAGGTGATACCCTCACCACCAAATGAAGCTTTCTTACAGTGCCAAAACATTCCCATCCATATTACAGTTAGAAAAAATATTGGAAATAATTTTACATTAAAATATACTTGGAGATACCTGGTAAAAAGCTGAACTATTTTAAAGAGGGCTAATTATCAATTTGGAAAAAGGGCTAAAATATTTATTTGAAATGTGATACCAGTCTCGTTCTTCTAGTGAGGCTTTATAAGTGTTTTATGTTTTAGAGGATTTATCAAACACTTACATACTTTATCTATAAACCTAGAAACCAGTAAGACTTGTAATTACATACCCCTCAAAGGGGTTTTTTTCTATTACATAAAAAGACACGTGGTCTTTGGTCAATTTTTTACATTAGCAACACCCAAAAGCTTTAATTAGAGCAGTAACTTGATGCATTCTGAAAATCAAAATGTTACAATGAAATCACTCAGTTTGTAAATTAGACTGGGAAAGCACAACTTTGTATCAGAATCATCTGGAAAACTCTTGATTTCAAAAACCTGCACATATATGAATGTTTTAAAATTATTTTCCATTTATACTGATTTCCAAATCATTTATGTAAATGAAATAATGGCAATATTCCCTTTAGAGGCATCTTTTAAAAACATTTCTACAAATTACTTAAAATTTTATCTTATTACAAATGTTTCTCCTAGGAAAGCCAACACTCCTAGGAGCAATATTTAAAATACTAAAGCTCACATTTGGATTTGCTAGACTAATAAAAAAACTTCTCCATTTCTTTTGAAGAGTGACATATAAACTATTTTAACATGAATCTGAGGAATGCTTTTACTGTATAAAGAAAAAAAAAAATCAACATTTTAAGCACATTACCTTGCAGAATGGTTTTGAAAGATTTTTAATACTTAACCTGTAAAGCATTTTTTACTAATTCATGGATTTCTTGACAGAACATGCTGCTTTTTTTCCAGCCCATAAAGTAAAAAATAAAAACAAAAAACCCCCAACCAATTTTGAATTTAAAGACAGTTGAAAAAGTACCTCAAACAAATGTTGAAAAAACTTTAAACAAAACAGACATGAAACCATAGTCACCTTTTAATGATTTAATATTTATCAGTAGTTGCTATAGTAATTTATAACACTGAAAACCATCAAACTTAATATGGTCAGTACCATAGGCATACAGAAAAATAAACCACAATTAGATGAGGACACAAATACCTTCCACACGTTTTGTCACGCAACTCCTTAAAAGATACTGATACACTTGAGCACTACAGTTCATTCCCAGATTTTGTAAGCTTTAGTGATTTAGTACCTGTAAACTAGTGCTAACTGCTGTGCAACCAACAACATAAACAAATCTCCTATATTTGTTTTCAAGCCCATACACAACAATTTGCCCTCACTAAAATATTTCCTACAGAAGGGTATGCATGATTTGCCTTGATAACACAGCTTTCTAATGGGGTGCTTTCCCCAGTTCAAATAAAATTTAGTCAAATTTTCATGTTGTATTTGTGATGTAAAGTCCATGCACTAAACTCAGTGACTTCAGGGAGCTTCTCCTGTAGCTGGAGGCAATCAGAACCACCAGAATAAAGTTTGGTCCCATCACCAAGCAGAAACAGTGGTTCAGAAGACTAAAAGCACTTCCAGTAAAAGTCTCTTTGAAACTGATTACTAAACAAGATATAACAGGCTTTTACTGTAACTGGAAGTTTACTTTACCATCACATTTTAAAGCTGTAAATTTCAATATATGTACTTATTTCCATCAGCACATAATTGGATTTACTCCTAATTAACTTATGTTTGACAAAGCACTTAGCTTTAATATACAGATTTGGTCTGTAGTAGTAACAACTGTAAGTGGGCAAGAAATTAATCTTCCCCTTACAAAAATCTTAATGAAGAAAATAGTACCCTTAACAATGACTTCCTTACTAGATACAGGACATTTCATGGTTTCTCATGAAATACATTGTTATTTCACTAATCTGTAGACTACTGAAAAAGATGCCCTTACAGGTTCTGTACTTAGGGTCTTGATGTTAATTCTAATTTTAAAAATGTGAAATTCATGCTTTATGTAGCTTCCATTATTAAAAGAGTTCGAATCCCACACTTCACAGCCTAAATTGTTGGATTTTTTGCTACCAGTTGATTAAAAAAAAACAGCATTAGTAATTTTTTATCTTTAATAATCTCACCTTCTGAGCTGCTTTAGAGGGACTCTTGTTTTTGCTTCCTTTGGGTCTTCCTCTTGGTCTTTTAGGAGATGGTTCACCAGTTGGTTCCTAAATACAGGAAAACATGCTATTGTGGCAAGAGGCTACAACTAACCCAGATGTTCTAAAGGATAAACTAAACTGAGAAGTTGCTTAAAACATATGAATTAACAGTGTCATTAAATAATATCATATTAATAATGCAACATTAAAAAATTTAGCAACTCCAGGTAAAGGAAAAAATAATTTTGCACATTAAATGAGTTTAACTTCTCTTGCAATTGCATAGAAAAACTTGGAAAAGTGTGAATATTCTAACATGTAAGTTATAGCAGGAAACATATTTTTAAAGATGGCTATGATTTCCCTCATATAAGAGCAATTATTTAAAAAATAACACAGCTACCCATTGAATTTCAATTGCATTGCATTATAGCAAGATACAATTATCCAATGCAGTTTCTAGCACAAGCTTTTTGGGGAAAAAAAGTTTACTACCAGAATATTGTAAAGTAAGATGAGACTACTTCTCTCTCAAGGGGGCAATTTTTTTTTTTTTTTTTGTTCTGCAGTCGGCATTATATTCACACCTATTCTAAAGAAAATTGATTCGTATTAACATGCAAATTTAAACGTTTCTTCAAATAGAACACTTGTAAGCCAAAAAAACTCGACGAAAGAAAAATCTGAAACAAAACCCCAACTCGAAAATGTGTCGACACTGATTATTTTAGCTGTTTTCTTAACTAGTTCCTTTGCCTGCCAGTAAATAACCAGTCCTTAAAATTGGGTATGAATTACTGAGAATTCAGATTCCAAATATTTATTCAGTGAATCATGAACACTATAAAACTCTTCTAGTCTTGAATATTATACATTTCATTCATATTACAGGATGCGGTAGAACTAATTAAGCGCAGTTTGTTAACTTAAACCAGTTTAAAGCCCTTCAGCTTTCATAATTCCCGGGTAGGTTAAAGGGAGGCCGGCGAGGGGACTCCCCAAGTGCTGCAGCTCAGTGGCGAGCCTCGCAGGCACTGCACATCTGGGCTGAGCACGTTGAAGGAGACGCGCTTTTCTTTCACTTCCACACATTCAGCCGGGGGGTGGAGAGGGGGGGGGAGGAAAAAGGCAAATAAAAAAAACCCTATGCGACTTTCTAGTCACCCTCCTCTCCCCCAGCCCCAGCATCTAGGGGCAGTTCAGGGGCTGGGCTGGTCAAGATCGGAGGCGGCAGCAGCGCCCGGTGGGACCCGACACATGCACACACACGCGCGCACACAGATTGAGATATAGCGAGGGCTCAGAGAGGAGCGAGACAGGAGAGCCCCGTTCCCTGCTCCTCGCTTTCGCAATTTCAAAATCAGCTCGAAATGACCCAGCGAGCGCTGGTTGGTCGGAGCCGCGCTGCTCCATGTTTCCCATTTACATTGAAAAGCCCCAGCTCGCTCCCTGCACAATAGTGGAAGTCCCGAGGAGGCTCCGCGGTTGAGCCCGGGCAGGCAGCGCCCCGTCGCTGCGGGGTCCCCCCGCCGGGGTGCCCGGCGGAGCCCCTCGCTACGCCTCTGCACCACCTCGCCGGGAAGCAGCGCACAACAAAGCCCCCCCCGCCCCGTCGCCAGGACTCCTTGCAGCACAATACGTACATGTACATGCCTATAACACTATAGATCTGCGGCTCTACGTATCTATACGATACTGACTTGTGGTTGTTTCCTGGGTCTGCCTCGTCCTCTCTTCTGAGGCTCTGCGGTTGCAGGTTGCTCCTGGGCAGCAGTGGAAGGCTGACCGGGTCCCTCACCTTGTGCACTCATCGTGACTTCTGCTGCTCAGCCTGAAACCAGTCTCTCCAAAGCACCTTGAAGGGGGGGAATCAAAACGAGCTCTTGCTGCTTTTGCTGCTCGCTGCCACCACCACACCGGACGTCCTGGTGCTGCCAAAAAGGAGAAGAGAAGGGGAGGAGGAGGAGGAGGAGGTGATGGTGGTAGTGGTGTTGGTGGTGGTGGAAGAGGAGGGGGAATGAATCTCTCTTACAATTTAGGAATGGTTAGTAACATGAAGCAATTCAAAAGAGAAAAGAGGGGTTAAAAAAAAAAAAAAAAAAAAAAAAAAAAAAAAAAAAAAAAGGCAGAGTAAATTGCAGCCCTGGAAATGCAAGGAGAGAGGGAAATAGTCCGAGGGTAGTCGGGAGCAAACCAAGAAGAGGAAAAAAAGTCCTACAAATTGAAAGCAAGTGGTGGCTATCGCGCTTAGATCGGATCAGGACAAATTAAGATAAGACACACTGAAAATGGACTGAGAACACTGCACAATCTTGCCAGAAGCATGCACCCTGGGAAGACGGGGATTTCGGCAGCAGCGGGAGCAGCGCGCAAAAGGAGCGATCATTTAAAAATAATAATAATAAAACGATTTGGGAGATTGGGAGGGAAAAAAAAGGGGGGGGCGGTCCTGGGTTCGTGTCTGTGATGCGAGCTCCTGGGACTGGAAATATTATTATGCGAGTCCTGCCCACGGACTAAAGTAGGATGAGGGTTAAGGGAGGCAAAAAAACCCCAAAACCAACAACAAAAACGAAGGAAAAGAAAAGAAAAGCCACCTTTACCCGTGGGTGGAAAAAACAGGAGGGGGCTGTAAGAGAGGGAAAAAAAAAAAAAAAAAAAGGGGGGGGGGGGGGGGGGAAAAAAAAAAAAAAAAAAAAAAAAAGAGAGAGAGAGGAGGAGGCAGAGCGAAAACCCGGCGATGGGGGGCTGGCGGTCGGCCAGATAAAACACGAGCAGCACGGCAGCCGGGGCAGCGGCGGCAGAGCGCGCCGCCGCCTCACGTGTCCCGCACCGGCCCGGCCGCGCCGCCACCGCGGCTTTAAAGGGCCAGGCCGGGCCCGGCGCTCGCCGCCCCACACGCGCC